TCAAGTATTGACAGGAGGGAAGGCCTGCCTAAAGAGCCAAGTCTTTAATTGGCCCTTAAAAACACCCAGCGAGGGTGCCAGGCGGATCTCTGATGGTAGGCTGTTCCAAAGTCGAGGGGCCACTGCTGAGAAGGCCTGGTTTCTAGTTCTTTCTTTCCGGGCCTTTCTCGGCATTAGGCCCCTCAGCCGTCTTTACTGGCTATAGCGAGTGACTTGAGTAGATCTAGGTGGGAGAAGGCGTTCTGCTAGATATCGAGGTCCTAAACCGTTTAGGGCTTTATATGTTATCATTAACACTTTGAAATCAATGCGGAAAAGAATGGTCAGCCAATGCAAGGCAGCCAGAGCAGGAGAGATGTGCTGGTGTTTTCTCGTCCCACTAAGTACTCTGGCTGCCGCATTCTGCACCATTTGAAGCTGCCATGTTAATCTCAAAGGTAGCCCCACGTAGAGCTTATTACAGTGGTCTAATCTCGAGATTACAAGCGCATGAACCAGAGTGGTGAGGGCCCCGCCATCAAGATAGGAACGCAGCTTGGCAATCACCACAGATGGTAATAGGTGGAGCGGACCACTGATGCCACCTGGATCATGGTAAGCCCCGGATCCAGGTGTACTCCCAAGTTGCGAACCTCACTCTTGGTGGTAAGAGTCACCCCCCCAAAAGAGAGGGAGTTTCCCAGACCACCAAAAGGACCTTCATCTTATCTGGGTGCAGCCTCAACCCATTCTCCTGCATCCATTGCAGTACAGCCTCCAGACAGCGCTGAAGGGACAAAATGGCATCCACTGAAGTAGGTGAAAAGGAGATGTAGAGCTGAGTATCGTCAGCATACTGTTGGCACGAGGCCCCACACCCCCTGATGACCCCACCCAGCGGCCTCATATAGATATTAAACAGCACTGGGGAGATGATTGAGCCCTGCGGAACTCCACAATTGAGACTCCATGGAGCTGGCGGACTTTGTCTCTGCGGCACTGTTGGAGTCCGCAAGGTTTTTGGACCTAGGTGACTTCAACATCCATGCAGAGGCAGAGGTCTCCAGTCCAGCTCTTGAGTTCATGGAAACCATGACTTCCTTGCACATGTCCCAACATGTCAACGGCCCCACACACATGGGCGGTCACATGCTAGACCTGGTGTTCTCCACTGAGCGGAGCCAGTGAGGTCTGATGGGGACTGACCTTGAGTCAGTTCCCTTGTCATGGTCAGATCACCACCTAATAAAATGTAACCTCTCAGTGGCTCTCCCTCCCCGCAGGGAGCACGGACCTATTTTAATGGTCCGCCCTTAAAGGTTACTGGATCCATCACGATTCCAGGATACCAGGATACCATGAGAGGGATTCCAGCTGATCTGTCTGGCGCTCCTGTCGAGGCTCTGGTGGATGGCTCAAAGTGCAGGGGACATGCTATAAGCTACAACAGTGTGAAGCACAGTCCAAAGAGGATTCTTTAATTAGTGACTGCTAGTTAAGAATCCCCAACGTTGTGGGTGAAATCATCCCTAATTGGACATACCATATTTTTCCGTATATGAGACGTCCCATGTATAAAACGCCCCCCACTTTTCTAAATCAAAATTTCTTTCATTGCAAGAAAAGCAAGAATTCTAAACTTGCTGTGCGGACTGTTTCTGAGAGCATTTTTGTTGCAAAAGCAGCTATCCCCCTCCAGGTTTTACAAAGAAAATGCAGGGCGAAAGTAGGAATTGCTTTCCCCTTCCATTTTCTTTGCAAAACATGGAGGAGGAAACAGGAATCAAAGCACTTTGATCCCTCCTCCATACTTCTGAGTATAAAACAACAATCAATTTTTCCTTTAATTATTTTAGGAAAAAGTGTTGTTCTTTAGATGGAAGTTACACTGTCATCTATGTGCACAATTGTATGTAATACACTTGCAGATATTTTCTCTTGCATCATATACATATCACATGCACATGCATGAACACATACTCTGACATTAGAAGAATCCTGCTGGATCAGATCAAGGCTGGTCTAGTCTAGCATACTGTTTACACAAGGGCCAGCCGATTACCTCTGGGAAGTTTACAGGAAGACAATAAGTGTAAGCCCAACAATTAATACATGGAAATATACCACCTCTTGTACTGGTGAGAATATATGTCTATTGTAACTAATAGTCTAATCTTCTATGGATTTATTGAGTCTCCTGTTGAATCTGTCGAGGTTGATTGCTTTCACCATATCTTGTGTTGGCCGATTCCACAGTTTAACTGTATACTGTATGAAGTTAAAATTTGCATTTTTCACATATATAGGCACATGCAATAGAAGCTGTTGCTGAACCTGTTACACGTACCTGAGTAGGGAACAAAATTCAGATCCTCTGTGTGTGTTTTTTTTTGTCCTGTAACTTTTTAAGCGTACTTTGTGTATTGGCAAAATCCTACTCTTGTAGGGAAACGGTTTGACTTACTGTGGTTAATTGCTGCTAATTTGTCCCCATTGCTCATGAGGCTTGGCACCAGTGTTCCCTCTAAGGTGTGCGGGTATGCCGAGCTCCATTGGCACTGTGCAGTGGCAGTTTGGTTGATGCCTCTTTACTTCTGGGTTTTGGATGAAAGCCTGCCCCCTGTGCTGATGGGCGAGGCTTCCATGCAGCAAAGATGAATGGGAAGGAATACTGCTTGGCACACAACCAAGAATCCAAGCAGAGACTTGTTAATTAATGGGAATTACGTAGTTACTGGGACTTGTGCAATTTGCCTTCCATCAGCAGTAACTGCAGACCAGGATGTCTGCATTACTTCAGCTATAGGATCTTAAGATGTTACATTTTCAGATTTCTCTTCTAAAAATGATGGTGTAAACCATTGTTGTGTGTTTGTGTTGTACACCATATTTGTTTTCTGTCATACACCCTGCTATGCAAGAGCTGAAAAAGAAATACTTATATTAATGAATACACACCTGTCCTTGGTTTGCAGCCACATTGCATATGAGAAATTCATTTTCCAAAACAGCAATTAAAAAAGAGCAACAACAAAACTAAGAAGAAAATGATAACATTATTATTATTATTATTATTATTATTATTATTATTATTATTATTATTATTATTATTATTATTATTATTATTATTATTATTATTATTATTATTATTATT